TTCCTGTGTTGTGTGTGTGTTTTTTCTCAGCTTGCGAGATGTGCGGAGGACAGGCGGAGGAGGCGACACTCGGAATTCAAGCTTCTTTTTGATTGGTTGAAAGTTAGAAATTAATAAAGTAAGCAAAGTTTACATAAAAATTAAAAACATAACTATTGGATTTACAATATTGAATTTAAACAAAAACAAGTCGAGCTGAGTCGAGTCAAATCGAGCTCAATAGTATTACTCGATCTCAAATCTGATACTCTAAATTGAACCGAGTAGAGTTAAGACAAATCGAGCTCGAGCGTCTGGTAGTACTCAATCTTGAATTCAAAACCTAAGCTAGAAGTATAAACGAGCCACACTGAAATGTGATTATATCAAGCATCTGATACTAAAGCTCGAACTCAAATCTTTATCACTTCCGTTTGTTAACTAAACTAGTCGACAAACGAGCTGAGCTTATTTATTAATATTAACGAGTCAAATTCGAATTTTAACAAACTGAGTTATATAAATTGACTAAAAAATTTTATTTTCGAACTTTGACAAACTCGATTCGACTCATTTACTAAACGAGTTTTACAAGAGTGACCTCATTTTAACAATTTCTACTTATGCTTTGAAGTTTGCATGTGTTTGGAGAAAATAGTTGGTCAACTGCCCGAAGACAGCTGAAAGTTGGCTCTATCAATATGGCCCTATAATAATAGATTAATGTACGACAGACTAGGCGAGGCCCGGCTAGGTGGGCCGACGGACTGGGTTTCATGGACCCTGAACCAGCATGGAGTCAATGGCCCGGCCCGAGTCTGGCACGTCCAAATAAAAAAAAAAGAAAAAAAAAAAAGAAAAACTTGAAAACAATGTGTTTTTCTGTGCCAGCCCAGACCCGGCCCGTCTCTCCGGGCTAGGGTCGAAAAAAAAGACCCCGGATTGGCCCGGTTGAAATCCGAGCCGGGCTCGAACCCGTGGTCAACAAGTTCGACCGGGCTGGGTCCGTGTCGGGCCACGCCTAGTCTGTCGTACATTACTTTATTTAATTAAATACACACGTTATAATATATATGATGCTTTTTCTTATGTTTACTTTTTAAGTAAAACACAATTTCTTGTGTGAAGCAACCTAATCATTAAGGGAGTCTGACACATATGACTTTCATTTTTAAGTAAAGCACAATTTCTTGTGTGAAGCAACCTAATCATTAAGCGAGTCGACACATATGACATTTCATCTTGAAAGTATTATATTTATTGAAAAAATATGAATTGTCTTTAGGTTTATCTGATAACAGTCTAGTTGTTAGTATGATATGATATTGCAATAAAAGCATATGTTTATTTGTAGAATAAAAATATAATTTTCTAATGGTTAACATAAATGATTTCGAATATACATTGCAAGTATCTCTTATAAATATACATTGCAAGTTATCTCTTATAAATAGTACTATATACTCCAATTGTTATATCTCTTATAAATATACATTGCAAGTTATTCTAATGGTTAACATAAATGATTTCGAATATACTGTTTTTTTTTTTTTATTGGCTAAATATACATTGCAAGTTATCTCTTATAAATAGTACTATATACTCCAATTGTTATATTCAATTTTTAATTAGATTGTCAGGCCCTTAGAGCATGTTTGTTTATAGAAATTTTCAAAAAAATTCTCACATTTTAACTCAACTACTTTTTTAACTCAACTTTAACTCAACCCCACCATCATCAATTATTATCAATATAATTAAATAATATCAATCAATCATTCATACACACCACATCAACCTTAATTCACTATTCATCCACTCACATTATTTTAACTAACCATCACATCAAACTATCTCTCTCCTACTTTTATATCAAACTATTTTAATTATTTTATTTTAAATATTATTTTAATTTACCCACTAACAACTAATCATACCATTTTTTTCAAAATTAACCAAACCAAACCAAAAAATCCAAACAAAACAAAAAAATTCTATAAACAAACATACTCTTAGTGTCTTAGTGTCTTGCTTGCTCAAGTGCCCTCGAAATTGTTGAGACGGCCCTGCTTGTGTGTTCTTCCCATTGTCAACAATTGACAAGGAAAATCTAGCTTGCTTTGGCATACATCACGTCTAGAGTTTGTTCACCTACTACACTTTATATTACATAATCACAAGATTACTTTACTATATTAGGTGGCTTAATCTTTTAGCTAGCTACATACCTTTTATGATTAAAAAATGTATTAGCTAGTGTAACAGTTAGGTTAGTCAATAATTGTTGTAGACATGGCAAAACACGGGCCGAGCCCAGCCCGTGGGCCGACGAGCTGGGTTTCATGGACCCTAAATTAGGACTGCAAACGACTCAAGTCGAGTCGAATCAAGCATTGACTTTATCGAGCAGGATTGAATTTTTTTTTAGCTGCTCGAGCTCGTCGGGCTCGATTTATGAGGCTCAAGCTCGACTCGATAAAAAAATACAAGAGGTCGAACTCGACTCGAATTCAAAATGCTCGATCTCGGCTCGAGTTCGGTTCGAATTTTTTCAAGCAATTTTGTAAAATAACCATTAAATACATATATATACAAGGTATTTTAGTAATTCATATATCTCGAGCCGCTCGCGAGCTGCTCGACAATATAAAATATGAGTTCGAGCTCGACTCGAGTTCGTGCTCGAACTGCTCGAGCTCGACTCGAGTTCGGTCAAATTCGAGCTCGAGTCGAGCTTTGACTCGAGCGCTCGCGAGCGGCTCGACTCGTTTGCAGTCCTATCCTGAACCGGCATGGAGGTCCATGACCCAACGGGCAGGCCCGGCCCGAGTCTGACACGTCCAAAAAAAAAAAATAAAAAAGTTGAACCATGAGTTTTGTTGTGTCGGCCCGGACCCGGCCCGCGAGTTGAAAAAACAAGACCCTGGATTGGCCCAGTTGAAATCCATGCCCTGCCCGAACCCGTGGTCAACATGTTTGACCAGGCTGGATCCATGCCGGGCCACGTCCAGTCTGTTGTACATTACTTTATTAAACTAAATACACACGTTATAATATATATATGAAGCTTTTTTTATGTTTAATTTTTAAGTAAAGCACAATTTCGTGTGTGAAGTAGCCTAATCATTAAGCGAGTCGACACATATGACATTTCAGCTTGAAATTAACATATTTATTGAAAAATTATGACTTGTCGTTAGGTTTATCTGATAACAGTCTAGTTGTTAGTATGATATAATATTGCAATAAAAGAATATGTTTATTTGTAGAAAAAAAAAATATATAATTTTCTAATGGTTAACATAAATGATTTTGAATGAATATGCAGTAAAGTAGTCCATTCAATTTTTAATATCATAATTCATACAACATTCAACTTTCACAGCAAACTGTTCAGCCAATACATTCTCAATTGACATCAACTATCAATTAGTCCAAAATCTATTGTGCAATAGTATTGACTTATGAGTGATTGCAATTTGCAAAGCAACTGTAGTGTCACAATTGATTGATATATACTCTCTAACATTTGAATTTGATTCCACATAACACTTAACCACACACAAATTAACCATGGTTACACTGATTGTAAGTTGTAACCCAACATTATTGACCATAGTCTGCACAAAAGCACAAAACACTTTGATTATAAACATATTTTCATAGATTATCCTCTCACACGTGGGAAAATATATCGCGTACCCTTTGCATGATCCGAAAAAATCATGCAGCAATTTGTTCTTCCTTGAGGTGTAAAGTCACCGGAATCTTATCTTGGCTCGAGAAATCCATTTCTGGAGCCGAAAAAAGATTCTTGGCTGTCGATTTTGGCGCTTTTAGAGGCTGAGGAGGACTAACATTGGCATGGAGCGAGAACCTTCTAGAAGGAATCTCGTGATTATGCTTACCTTCGTAAGTAGTAATCACGGCTTTAGGATCTGCAGAGGCCCTCTCGACATGTTTTCGTACATTACACCCGGCATATGTACATCTGTAATAACTCCTGCAGTGAAAAAAAAAAAAAGATTTTGACGTGCGAAGAAGATTTAACAAGAAAAACAATTCGGAAAAGTTAAGAAAGAACAAAAAGATTAGATTTTTGAAAGTTATCAGTAGCGTGTAACCTAGGATGTTGATTCCCCTTGACCACTTTTTGTCCGTATTTTCTCCATTTATAACCGTCGTCTAAAAGATCGACTTCGCTTCTTGTCTGCACGACAATTTTTGATTCAGTAATTGTTTGATGCGAATAAACGGGATTCGACTGCTCAACATCCGAGCTCCTACACAAAAAAAAGTACCTTTTTACACGAGTGAATGAGAAAACAAACAAGAAAAGAAAAAGGGAAGAAAGAATAGCAAAAACCACCCTCGGTTTGATTTGACCTCATTCAGAATAACACCCTCTCAAAATTCACGCTTCGCTATGACTTATGGTTAGCTTACCACCCTAGCCGATAAGCTAGCTTACAGCTTTTAAGTGAATTTCGAACTTATAGCTGATAGCTTATGACTTATGGCTGAAAAGCTAACTTATATGATAAAAGTGTTTGGTAAAATTAATTGAAATAAAAATTTCAATGGACTTATTTGAAAAGTTACCAAGGATACCTAGGGAGGAAACTTATGAGATAAACTCGAGCTTTTTAAAAAAGTTCGCCTTCCCAAACCAAGTTTATCAAAATACAAGAAACTTATAAGCTAATCAAATAAGTTATAAGCTAGCTTATATGCCTACCAACTACAACCGTAATTTCCCAAGAAAATACGAAATCAAAACAAGATGAGATAAAGATATCTATTTTACCGCCTTTTAGCAATCGGTTCCTCATCATCCCCATCATCCACCACAATCACATTATTTTCCACATCACCATTACCACGCTCGAGCGGCTGGAGTAGGCCCACATGCAGATTCGCAGGCCGAGAACTAACTTCCACAGCCTCGTTAGGCCCGTTCGTCTCAGGCCCACAACCATCTTTCGCCCGTTTATTATTATTATTATTTCGAGGGGGTGCGTGATTGTGCTGCCCCTTGTACACAATCTCCAAAATACGCCCGTCTAGAGACAGCTCGACTTTCTTCTTGACCGGACAATTCGAGTGTGTGCACTTATAGTAACTTCTCGGGCACTCGCTGCCTTTCACGTGCTTCTGCCCATATTTTCTCCAATTGTAGCCGTCATTTGCTGGTTTATTGCCGTTTGTAACATTAACCGGTTTTTTACTTGCGGGCTGAGAGGAAAATTCGGGAGACTCTATTTTGGTTGTTTCTGGTTCTGTTTGTGGAGTTGGGTTCGAGTGATGTGGAGGCGTCTCATCGGTCGGTGAAGGCGAGTAGTTATTATCCACTGTGGGTGTGGATGAGGATGACCGTTGGATTTGTTCTTGCATTTGGATGTAAGATTGAGAGAGCGCGGCTTGGGCCGTGACGTGGGCCAGAGCTTGCTGGTGAGACATTCCGAGTCCAAATGGGCTCTGACGAGTATCAAGACACCAAAAAAAAAAAAAAAAAAAACATGAAAACTAAGACAAGATAAATGCATTTTTTGTCGAAACACAAACGAATGAGGCTAGTAAAAGCACGACGATTGTGTCCATAGAGTTATTTACCTCTTCTTGTCTATCAAAGACATGAATTTCTATCAGAAAATGAGACAAACGTTATAAGATTACCCCAAAAACAGATTTAGGCACCAGAGAATGCGACTTCATTTCATAACGCATGCCAACCGAGTCTCTGTTAAAGACAAATCATCCTAATTCCTTCACAAATGCCCAAGTTTCAAAGTTCAATCTTTTCTTTTTTTTTTCCCTTCACCTTTGACAGCTAGAACTAGAAGTTCAATCTTCTTCTTTTTTATCATCTTTCTACTTTTAAGCAGCTAAAAGTCCAATCTTTTGGTTTGTCATTCATAAATCCCCAAATTTCAAAGTTTCAATCTTTTCTTTTTCCATTCACCTTTGACAGCTACAACTAAAAGTTCAATCTCCTTCTTTTCATCATTTTTTTTAAACTTTTAAGCAGCTAAAAATTCAATCTTTTGGTTTAAAAAACTCAAATTCAAATCTTAAAACAGCCTTGTTAGATTGCAAAACATTCAATTTCTTTGAGAAATTGCTCAAATTCAAGTTAAATTATTCAACAGCTTTATCAATCAATTTCAACTTCAATTCACTAAAACTTAGAAAACCAATCCACACAGCATATCACAATAATCATACAACAGAAGATAAAAACACTCACAGGCATCAGTTTCAAGTGAAAGAAAAAACACTTACAAGTGGGGATAAAAACCCGGGTGAGTTAAGAAACCCGGACGGGCTCAGGCCCGGCGGGACCATGAACATCGGGCTCAGGCTCTCCGGCTGCAGCTGCGGCTGGGCCACCACCAAATTCATCGGCCTATTACGCTTGTACCCAACGGCACCCTCGGGATTCTCCCCACCGCCCGGAGATTTTACATCTTCTTCTTCTTCTTCTTTCGCCGGAATATCCTCCGCCGGCGAGAAATCCAGCTTCGGCGCCATCGGCGAGGCCATGGCTCCGGCCAACAGCTGGGAGAAAGAAAACGGGCCCTGCTCCGCGAAGAAGCTCGAGACCAGCGTCATCGGGCCGGGGCTGAACCCGAGGCTCCCCATCCCGGCTGCGAAGAACGACTCCGCCGGGCCACGCGGCGGCACCAGAATCGTCGGCTTGGCCGCCCTTGGGGCCGCCGCCGGCGCCGCATCTTCCACTGTACCCCCATCCATTTTTCTTGATCTCTATTTCCCCCCAACAAAGATGAAAGAATCAAATGCAAACCCACAAACAGGTATGGCAAAAACAAGAAAAAAAGGAACGATCTTTATCTACGAAATTGCTGTTAATTTGGGGATTTCTCTCTCTCTCTCTCTCTCTCTCTCTCTCTCTCTCTCTCTCTCTCTCTCTCTCTCTCTCTCTCTCTCTTCTTCTTCTTCTTCTTTTTCTTCCTACTTACTCCATGGCTGCTGCCTGCACTACAGGTCCACAAACAGAGTATTATACATCAAATTGCAACGCGTGCCTGAAGATTATTTAGAGATGGATGGATGGATGCATCTGAGCAACTTGCGAAAAACGGTACGGGATGAACAGTGAGTGGGGCCCACTTGGACATTTATTGCGTAAATAAGCTCAAGAAGAAAGATGAGTCACCACCACCATGACAACTTGCTCTCTCTCTCTCTCTTAGATCTCTGTCTCTCTCAGGCCATCGTTCGTCGGCTGTGCTGTAAGCCTGTAATTGAGGTTAATAAAATACTCTTGTTTTTCGTCTTTATCTGTTTGGGAGAAAAAAATGGGTCTCTTGAGGTCTCATTCTCAACGTGAAAGAAATTTAGCTGTGGACCTTTTTGTATTATATCTTATCTTCACAATTTATTGGACGATATTAAAGATATACTACCAAATTTCATATTTATGGTTTTTTTTAAAGCTATGGCAATTTTTAATGAAAATAAATATACATGTTTATATAAAAAAAAAATATTTAAGTCTACCTAACCATTGTTTTAAATAGCTCGTTATGTATCTCGCTATGTGGTTTTTTTTTTTTCAAAAAACGCGACGTAGCCTTATATATTTAGAGTTTTCCTGAAAAGCTTACGCGAAATATTAAAATGACACGCTTTCTTACGTTGTTTTGCGTTATTTCACGCTATTGTGCGCTACAGTGGGTCATATAATCTGCATCGATATTTAAACAATAAAATATTTAAAAACTCGTATTTTTTAGGGATCAAAATCATATTTATAAATGACAACTTATAACTAAATATTTTGATAATGATTTCAAATTAAAAGTTTGAAAAAGTCCTAAGTTGAATAGTGCAATATTTATCGCTCCATTTTAGTTATATCAATTTATTTTCGATATTTGACATTTAAATAAAAACAAAAAACTCATATCTAATGGTTAGAAATGAATTGTAGTTAAATAAAAATAAAATAATTAATATGCATATACTCAAAATTATACTATGACTTACCTCATCATATTTTCGTTGTTTGTTTTTATTTTTTAGTATATTCGATTTATTATGTAAATATTTATATTATGATATTTACATTAAACATTTGTGAGAAATACTTCTTACATGTTATTTTTGAAGTCATTCTAATACTATGATAATTTTTGTAATCTATCATTCAATTTTATTATATGCAAATATATTTGTAATATTTCTATAAGAAAAAATTATACTCAAATAACTTACGCAACATGCAACGCTATTTACGCTACGCAGTATAAAGTCCAATGCGCAACGCATTGCGCTGTACGCATTTTAAATCATTAATTCATTATGTCTTTCAAACACTGAGTTCTACCTTTTTGGCATTAGATCTGATCATTAAGTCGATATATGTATACTTTCATTATTGTATGTCGTTTAAAAAAAAAAAAAAA